GAACTAATATACAAAGTTTACAGTAACTTACTTGTTCTCCCCAAAGTGACCTCCTCCATTGAGTATGGTTATGTTTTTTCTACTATCAACCAGGTGTGCTGTAACCTTTATGTAATAGTTTATTATTATATTTAGTTCAAAATAAAAATTGTAACTTTTTATAATGAGTGTATTTAATTGCTGTTTTATAAACAGAGTGTCACACTCAAATAGGTAATGTTAGTTGAATCCCAATACAGTATGTTTATTTTAATACGATTTTAAACTGCCTTCATGTTAAGTTAACATTGATACCTGCAAATGATGAATGTTTTCCTCTACAAATAGGTGAAATGCCATGATTATAACATCACAAAATACGACTTAATACCTATTTATTCTAAACTACATAATGTAACAGTTAATAGTATTAGTCAAGAACGAGTGCGTAGTCAATTTTAGGTAAATATGTCAGCTGATAGTTATAGATAGTTTTTAAAAAGTGTAAAATAATATGTTTTTAACTGTAAATAATTTAAAGGGACTATTTTTGTATTCACATAACAAATTTTAATGCTTAGCAATAAAAGTGTTCAACACAAAGTTTAAAAAAATAATGGTAGGAGAACGACATATGCTTTGTTCTGAAAAGTGGAGTTAGTTTTAACTGGGACTGGTCGCAGAGGTGGAAAGTATGGACAGTTCTCTATATTTCACATCGAGTTGTGTTAACCAAATATTTAGCTAGTCTCGCCTTGTGTATTATTTAAGCTTTCTTCCCTATAGCTTTTCTAATAATGTTGTCTGTTTTTCACATTTTGTAAAGAAAATTATAAAAGAAATATTTTAACAGCTGTTGTTCCTTTTACCTTTCCTTCCCTTCTAATTAAGTTTATTTTAAAATTTGTTCATTATGACTTATATAAAAAATATAAACAAAATATATAATACATAAATATAAAAATGAAGCAATTAATCAAATCAAATCAAATAATTCTTTATTTGAAGTTTCATTAAGAAAATACAAAGGCGTCATCCAATAATATAACTAAAAACTAGTACAAGAATTTTATGGCTTGGCTTAGTACATAGTGGCGTCCCCATCTTAAATAATTGATAATTGATAATACATAGATGGACTGTGAAATTGCAAAATACCCTAAGCGAATTGGATTTCCATTTACCTGGCTGGATTTCTACTAAAATATACCCTGAAAATTGTCAGATTTATTTCCTATTAAAATAGCATTAATTTTAATGAGTACCTAGGTTTGCTGCTACAGGGAAGGTATTGAGGTGTGTTTTTTATTGAAATGTTGATAGCTTAGTATGAAATAAACAAAATTGCCAAATTTGGTTAAAATATATCCATAAACAAGCAAACTACAACAGTTTATTTATTCTCCATAAGAATAACATGGGAATTTTAAATTTAAAGTTTTTTTAATTATCTCCGTAACCGTTAGGCATACAACAACGCTTCAATATACAAAATTATTTCTTTTTTTTTTAGCTCTGCAAAATGGTCTGGAAAACTTGATCGATAGCAGTTATGAAGTTCTGCATGTCATGGATTCTGAGTAAGATTGCTGGGGTAGTGTTTGAGAAGGATCTTAGGTTTCTACTGATGTGCTTTTAGTTTGAGTATGAGCATCTTTTACTTCCTTGCATTCATTTAGGGCTTGTTCAATATTGTTAATATTTTGAAGTGTAATAAAAAACAGTGAACATTTATTGGTCTAAAAGATAATGGATTTTTATGAAATCTTGACAGTAAATAATGAGATATGGTTAATAATGTTGAGTAAATTTTACAATTTTTTCATTTTTGGGGGAATTAGTCTGTGTTGTTGAGCATGAATTCCTCTGTTTCTAGTGTTGTATTTGTGATCTACGAAGTGAGGTTGAATGTGTTGTGATTTTATGTAAACTACTGCTTCATAAATGAAGATGCAAGGGACAGTCAAGAGCAGTGGCGGCTAAAGGGGGGGGGCTTAGCCCCCCCAGATATGAGGATTCACATTTTTTTTGGTTAAGTTAGAAAAATTAATTTTAAAAAATTAATAGGAACCTCAAAGTTTGATTTTTTTGTAAACAAAATTTATTATTTTTATAGGTTGTCTAGTAGTCGGGAATTAGTATTGAATTTCAAATCGGTCTTGAAAAGTCGGGATTTAGTGTTTATTTTGATATGAAAGTCGGGAATTTTCATGATTTTGCCGCGATCATCGCAGACAACGCCGATGACGTTTCCTTGGCTGCGGGAGTCAATGGTGATGTCTACACGGCCGCGGGAAATGATCATAATTTTGCCGCGATCGCGAACGGCAACGATGACGTCCGAGGCAGTTAATGATGATGTCTACTTGGTCGTGGAAGATTTTCATCATCCAAAAAATCCTACGTTATGATTCAATGATTAAGCAAAGCAATAGGCTAAGTCACTTACAATACAAAGTAAATAATAAATAGTCCATCTCTTGATTCACAAATAAATGCAAGTTAGATAAATATAATAATAAGGAAACAAACAAAACCATGCAAAACAAAACTGAAGCAAAACCATGCAAGAAAATATAGCCATGCAAGGCAGTGCATGAGCATTACCTATAACAAAACTGGTAGTCCTACTTTAAAAAATTCAGACAGGTCATAAAAAGGGTTTTCTATCAACCAGTCCTTCATTACTGCCTTAGTGCCTTGAACCTTGAAATAGGCAAGTCCCTTATGGCTACTGGTAGATGGTTGAAAAATCTGTAACCTGAAACAGGGAAGCATTTAATTGTTCTGCTCAGCCTGTGTCTATGCGCAAAAACATTTAAACAATTTCTTGTGGCATAGTTATGTACTTGGTTGTTTCTCAAAAGGTGCACTTCATTTGCCTTCATTTCTAAAAGACATTGAAAGATATATACATTGTATACAGTCATGATGCGGTTTTGTTGGAACAGAGGAAGGCAGTGTTCCAGGTACTGGGCTCCACTCAGCACCCTGACAGCCTCCTTTTGCAACACTAGAATTTTACTTACACCAGAAGAATGGTCTCAGAGCCTGGTACCGTAAATAATGATGGAGTGGAAAAAAGCAAAATAAGAGGCTCGAATGAATTCCCCAGACAAGTCAGTAATTAGTCTTCTGAGCAGGAATATGACCCTGCTCAGCCTACTGCACACTGACTCTATGTGGTCTCCCCAGGTGAGGTGTGGGTCCAGAGTGAAGCCCAATAACCAAACAGGGTTGTGTCATCAGCATAAAATATGGCTCTACCAGACACATGGTAGTACAAGTCATTAATAGACACGGAACAGAAATGGACCCAGAATGGAGCCTTGAGGTACACCATGATTCACAGACAGAAGAGAGGAGTTTCTACCTCTCCAAGATACTACCTGTTGTCTATTGCTAAGATAGGATCGGAGCACCTTGAGTGCATCGCCGCGTATGCCATATCTTTCCAGCTTCAGGATTGGGATATTGTGTGAAACGCAATCAAATACTCGTGAAAGGTCACAAAGCAAAACTGATGAGACATTTAATCTATTTCCAAGTGAGCTGAGCACAGTCTGGAGAAGGGAGTCTACTGCCGAGACAGTAGACCTACCCCCCTAAAACCAAACTGAGCTGGCACAAGCAGGCGATGGTCCTCAAAGTACTCGTACAACTGTTCTAGCATAACAGCTTCAAACACTTTGGCAAATATGGGGATGATAGCAATAGGCCTATAACTACTGACATTGTCATGGGCTCCTTTCTTAAACACTGGGACTACCCTGGATATGGTTAGGCTATCCTGGTTTAGGCTACAATTAATTCATTGTTCCTTTCGCCTGTCTTTTGTCAGCACCAGCAGCATCATTGACAAGTCATTTTCATTGAAGACACTTCATTCTCATATCTTTTTGTTTTCACTTCTCACTATATAAGTCATATATATTTCTTGCATTTGTATTGTCATATAGCTTAGCATGTCATTATTTTCACTTCTCGTAAAAATAGTGTATACCATGTATATAAATAAATGTGTATATATCCTTACCATAGTTCAGTACAATACAATTATCGTGTCCTACTACGGCCGCCTTTAACTCCAGGCCCCGGCCTTCGAAGTGGCAACGTCGCAAGTGGTGTTGTAACAGCTGTTTTGTTTGGAAGCAGCTAATGATATTTGTGTATTTACGAAAGATTGGTTACTGGACTATGACAATATTGACTCCGCTTAAAATGTACAGATAAAGATTTTTAATTCATATTAGTTTCGGTTTACAGTTCTGTATGTTTTATTTTCAATACCTATATTAATAAATTTATGCGTTCATAAATTTAAATCAATAAAGTGCGAATTAATGATCTGATGTCACCTGTCTGCCATGTTATCTTATGGGACGTCTGTCACTAAACAACACCACTTGCGACGTTGCCAATTCTACCAGGCCGCGGCCTAAAATATCGTATATTTGGTAGACCTGACTGAAGCGAGCGGCAGTTGCCATTCCCACAATGCAACATTCTCCTTGATTATAAGCTATGCCACAAAGTCAGAATTATAAGCTATGACTAAAAATCAGGATTATAAGCTATAGAACAAAATCGGAATCATAAGCTGCGCCACTATTTGACCATTAAAGGGTTGTGAAAACTAAAACGTTTCATACCTTATAACGTTTTAGAGAAATTGTGGCATAGCTTATAATTTTTCGTGAAAGTGTTGCATAGCTTATAACCGATTATAAGCTATACCACATTTTCAAGATTATAAGCTATGAAACAAATTCACGATTATAAGCTATGAAACAAATTCACGATTGTAAGCTATGACATTATAAGGTATGAGACCCCACGGTTCCGAAGCATGCCCCCCACGTCATGTTTAATATTATATGCCGTACAACAAAAAATTATTTAGACACCATGGGATTAGAAGCCATGGGGCATCATGACAAGGACACTATTACATACGACCGTTATGATATATTCCTCGCCATTTCTCCCGAATACTAATTTCTGTTGTTTTGGACTCTGGTGCATGCAGATGCAACGCAAAGCAATGATGTATTCGTATTTTGTAGTGCTTGTATTGACAGTTTTTGTAAATTCAGTTGTTTGTTCGACAGATGTCTTTTGTTTATAAATAATGAGAGAGATACCATTTTGGCATTTGGTAGTTCTGACTTTGTATTTGAATGAATGTTGAATTATCTCTTGTAGCTAAGTCGTAATACTCGTAGTTGAATTTCTTATTTTCGATTCTATTTTAATATAGACAAAGGAAGACTTATTAATTAACTTATTGTCCTCAAATTTTTTCCTGCCTAAGCCTCGGAACAGAAGTTATATAAAATCTGCATTCAATAACATGCAGATTTTATGAAGTCTGTTTTTATTCACGATATCATGATACACAACTCACGTCATAAAATAGAGGTAAATATATACTGTAGTTTGTTTCCTATAAGTCCCACATTGTTTTCATTGTAATTATCTAGGCTAAAACAGCTGATCTCAGTTGCCAAGGTTAAACTTCAGATTGGCATAGGGCCTATATTGCATTATTATTACAACATCATTAGGCCACTGTATTTGAGACAACACAAATAAGCTCAATAATGTATTCATTATTTGTGTTTGTTTCAAAATGTGCAGTTTAAACAAAGTGAACAAAGATAAGTCTAAAAAGGTCAGTGCCTAAATTATGAATCAAACCTACCCTTTAACTTAGCGCCTAACTAGTTTTGTAGATTTCCATATCCATTTGTTGTATAATTACCTAAGTTAGGCCTAGACCTACTCTAGGATTAAAATAGGGCTTACTAGAAAAACCATTAATCATGTCATATAAGGTGACCAAGCGAACCATAGTAATCTAGATTTTACCTGAAAAAAATATGGTGCACAAATTTTTCTGCTGTCACAAAAACTGAATAAACTAGGCTATGATCGTTTGAATTTTATTTTAATGTTGTATTAGGAACGTTGATCTGCACATCAATATTTACACTCTAAAATCAAAGTTAATAGCCCAAGTCACATTTATTGATCGATTATATGCCACTTTAAAGTAAAAATTACCTTCACAACCCACACTTAGAGAGGTAAATACGTTAATTTAAGCAGAGGTGCCCACAAGGGGGGGGGGGCTGTGACGCAGACTGCGTCATTGAAATTCTTGGGGGGGATTAAGCGGATGTTACAAACGCTATATATATATTCTGGCAATAAAAAATACCTTAAATTGAGGTGACTTATAAAACTCTAATTTGATATATATAGAAAGATAAATTTTCCAGTCCTGTACAACACTGATTCACGGTCTTTTTCCGGTAATCAAAATTCAAGTTCAACACTTGATACACACAGAATCTCCGGTTCCCGACCTGGATGATGGCTAGTTATTTAATTTAATTTACAGTTACACATTAGTACCCGTGATAAATCAAACCCGTTATGTAAGCCAAAGCTCCACGGTTATTAATCTCACTTGGTTTTGGATTTGCTTACAAATGTGATCGGAAATGTTTGGGGCCTACACAGTATTCGTAAACAACATTAATTATGTAAACTTATCAGTGACAGCTAGAACAAGGAATCTTTAACAAAACAGCTGTTCGTATGACGTGTTCTCTTAACAGATTATTAGTATTTCATAAATGACGTATGTAGTAAACATGGAGAAAAAAACTATAAAAATCGCACAAAATTGGGTTTTTGATCTTCCGTTATGTTATTTCCAAAATAGTGAGGCCATATTTTAATGGCTAAGGACACTCTCGCCAATTCTGTGAATACAATTAAACCATTAGAGTCATAATCGGTACTCTAGTTTTCTTCAGAGTAGGCTGCGTAAAATGCTTTCTGGGCCGTGACAGACGGACATAAATTGAGATAAGACACGTTTCAACTTCTTCAATGTATAAAACGTAAAAATAACTCAAAATATGTATAATTCCGAGCAATGTACAGACATAACTATAACTTTATTTATATGGATTAACTGGGTTTGAATTTTCAATATCTAAAAAATGTTTAAAAACTTCTTTTAGTTTTACAAAAAGTGTTGGGCGGGGGAATTATGTTTCTCATTTGTTGTGTACCTCATTTATGGGGGGGGGGGGCTGTTGCTGAATTGAGGGGGGGCTGCGTCATGAGTCTAGGGGGGGATGGGCACCCCTGATTCAAGAAGGCTATGAAACATTTGATTAAAATATAGGCTAATTAAAAACACCTCTAGGTCGGACATATTTTTGCAAGCATTTTTAAAATTATTATTTATTGTGTTTATAAACTTAGCACTATTTACAAAGTGCGATAACAGTCTGAATAACAACTCGATTCATTATAACCTAAACTTTATCTTCCTAATCTAACCTAACTTCAAAACACTTAATACTGTCACGAGTCCACTTAACACCCAACCTACCTACCTCACCATGTCTAAATAAGAACTGATTAGGCCTAAGTAGGCTAGTTCATAATCAACGTTCAGTTGATTATAAAGTTTAGGAAAATATGTTCAGCCATCAGTCAGTAATGAGCTTATCTTCAAAAAAGGTAATTTGATTTCTATATGGTATTAAATATGGTCTGAGCTTCTCATGAGTTTTGTGTTAGCCTAAATACAGGGTGTTTATAAAAGAATACCGGGATTTTAAACGGTCGTTGCTCCGGGACTATTCAAGATAGCCTAATTAAAAGATTTAAACGTCAAATTGAAGGAAAAAGGACCAAGTTTTTTCTCATACTTTGATACAATTTGGAATAATTTAATAACTTAAAATTCAGATTTTTATCAATCTTATATGAGGGTAAAACTGGCTAATTCTGTACGCTTAGGGTGATCGGCGGGTTTATCTGATGTCTTAACTGAATTTGTTTAGGCACAAAGACTCTATCTTTTACAGATAACATCATGAAGTGTTGATTTAGGCATGTTCAACTGAAGACTTCATCGGGCAATCGATTTTTTGGGGCTTCTGATGCAGAATTGTCGGATTTCTTCGACTATATCATTGCTTTTAGCCGGCCACGTGAATGTCTTTTTCAAAACACTACGGTGGCCACGAAACTCATTAAACCCGCATCAAATTTCTTTATCATCAAGTAGGTTTAAATTTAGTTTAATTTAGCAATCGATATAAACTCTGTGCCTTCTGTTGCGCCGTACAAACATTGCACTGGCGACTGGCGTCAGGCGTGTGAGTCAGAATAGCGGCCTACCACCCCGCACCTGTTTTGCGCATGCCAAGGTCAAAGTTTCCTCCCTTGCTACACGGGAAACAAAACGTTGTTATTTTGAATAGACCACGGTAAATCCAACATGACATAAAACAGAAATTTCTAACTCATGAATAACGCCTAATACTGTATAAATGGACTTTAATGTGATCATTTGCATATTACATCATCAAAATACAAATAGTAGGCTACTGCGCCATCATGGTAATTATGTTAAGTCATTAACCTTGGTTCTGTAATAAAAAAATGTAACGTTCAAAATGACAGTTTTCTCAAACTTTTACTCAAACAAACAAATTGCCAAACACTGTAGAGCAAAATAAAGAAGAGAACAATAGAAAGTCTAGTAAGCTACTGCTTTCATAGGCTACCACTACGCTGTTTCAGGACAGAAGAATAAAATAATAGTATAAAATAGAATTAAATATGTATAGAATAATAATAGCCTACTGATATATGATCACAACAGTCGTGAAATAAAGATAAACAAAGATAACAATGACATAAAAACATCGCTTATTCTTTCTCTTTGTTCTTCTATTCTTTCTTGAGTTTCTCTTCATCCACCCATTCAACAAGTTGCCATGGTTACTAATCACCCAATCACAGGCTACTAAAGTGGTCATGGTTACCAAAAAAATACCCAATCACAAGATTTTGTGACATAGCAAGCCCACAGCAGACAGATGTGTCATGTGTAGGCCTAACGATTGTCAGTGCAAACTGATAGCTTGACCTTGAAGCTAGTGGTGGGAATCACCGAATGAAAATATCCGAATCAATCGGTTATTGATGCTGAATAGATTAATTCGGTTATTTTATCCTGGTTCGGTTAAATTAGTCTTACCGAGCGATTCGATGATTTAGTTATTTAGTTGATTTAGTTTGTCACATCATCAGGAAACTAAAATTTATTCGGCGATTCGTTCGACTAAAAATCACCGATGGACGGTAAAAGACTAAATGCCGTTCGTTCCCCATTAGATAAAAATTAGTTGTGTTTTGTGACAGTGACTAATGACTAAAATTGATTCGGTGATTCATTCAACTAAAAATAACCGATTGACGCAAAAATTAACTGATTGATTATTCGGTCATGGAAACCATTCGGTTATCCCATCACTACTTGAAGCTCCATTAGGTCAAAATCAAACAATTTAAGAACACAACCTACTCAGGATATCTATGTATTTCTGTGAAACTGAAACCTTAAAACTACATAGTTTATTTTTTATATTTACATTCAATAATATCTTATGGCATCTCCTTATTTGGCTGTACAAGCTTAAATAATATGTATACAATTTTTAAATATCAAAAAAAGCGCTGAGGCATATTTGACACTTCAACGAAAAACACCTGTAAAAGAATACTTTATTTCACTTAAAATAATGACAGTTTATGGGATGTATATAAAACTATAATCCACTTCAAGGAAAGGGAACATAATCTAAAACCATTAGGAAGTACTCATGAGTATAATACTAGAAATAGGAACAATATTGCAATACCCATACATAATTTTATTTTTATTTTGCTTCCAAACAAACCAATTTACAATTATGTTTACAATAAATATTCAATGTTACTAATATCTAAGGGTCAAGCCAAACATGCAATGGGACATATGATAATTACTTAACAGAAAAATCTAGACAACAAGAACAACAAACTAAAACCTGAGCAAATGTAGACTAACAATGATTAATCTTTTTAATAATTAACATTAATTTGAAACTATTTAAAAAGAAACCTACTTATACTGGCGCATTATTTTTTCCAAATTACCATTAACCTTAAGACAAGAGCCGAAACTTCAAGATTTTATAATAACTAAAGCATTTTATGATATACAAGAATTTCTTGCTCCATAGTTTAATTCAAAACCTTTTGGGACTAGAAGGGCTTTTGAATGTTTAGATTATTTGACATATTTCTTATTTTATTCATGATTATTATTTGTTTTGTTGAGAATTTATATTGTAATAGTATAAATAACCTTTTTTATGATAAAAAAAATAGTAGAAATAAGTTAGAAAACAGTTTTGAGTTTTAATATGAATCACTTATCGACACTGTTCAATGTACTGTAAATATGTGCTAAATGAATAAAGATTGTTTGAAATGGCTTAAACATTATTGTGCTGAAACGTGTTGCCGATATTATTGCTGATCCACAATAATTACAAGAG